TCCCATTTTTATGATATCCGTAAATGTTATATTATAAAATTATTATTGTTATTATTATTATGTTATTTTTTATTATCCGTGAATGTTAGCAACTGGACAAATTGAATGCAGCGGTCAAGGAAAAGCGACCAGAATTGGTCGATCGTAAAGGTGTCATTTTCCAGCAGGACAATGCCAGGCCGCACACGTCTTTGTCCACTCGGCAAAAATTGATGGATATTGGTTGGGAATCGATGTTACACCCACCATATAGCCCTGATCTCGCGCCATCGGATTACCACTTATTTCGATCCCTGGACAACTCCCTTCGTGGTAAAACTTTGAATGACGATGACGCTGTAAAATCTCACTTAACTCAGTTTTTGGCCGAAAAGGATCAGACTTTCTACGAGCGTGGAATTTTCAAGTTGTCAGAGAGATGGCAAAAGGTCATCGAACAAAATGGAAAATACATTACAGATTAAACTTCACTCCAAGTAAAAAAAATTTTTTATTTCATTGAACAAATCGGCAATTACTTAGTTGCCAACCCGATACAACGAAGCAGAGGCACGGCAATTGGTTACCCGGCACAGTAACCGGCTCCACTAGCCCACTGCACCAACTTCGAAAGTTCGAAGTACGGTTGCGATAAGTAGAACAGGTCAGCAACAAGCAGACCCGAATTCCGTTCAGCTTGGTTCCCGGACTCTCGAGTTTTCAGGACACCCGGTGCACAGGAAGAATTCGTGTAACGCGCGGCGTCCATTGTTTGGGGGTTGCTTTGCGGCGATAGCTCTCCGAGTAGAACGAAGGCCGCGGAACAAAGGAACACTTTGAATAATCGGTCTATGGAAGAACCGGAGAAGTTTCCTGGACGACGCCGACGCGGCAGGGAATCGCGGGAATCGCGCCTTCGCCGTAAACTTTCCCATCGGGAATCTATTTGCGACGGACGGAATGATCGTCGCGGAGGAGGCCCCCGTTCTCATTAAAAGTTTAGTCCGCCCCCCCCGGGGGGAGACGGGCCCGCGTTATCAAGAAACAATCGTTGCGCCGGGAACCGGCGAACGAATGTTTCCACGATTGCGACTTCATTGACGCCGCGATCGTGTCGCTGACCGATGATCGCTCCGGCCAATTAAATCGACCGCGAAATGGACGGTTCTGCGTCTTAATGGCGGGAAAAATTTCACGCGAAACTGCTCGACCGAACAGTTCATTTAACTTCTTCGGGCGTCTTCTGATTAAGGCACGGTAATTAGCAGAAAAGTTTCGGGATGATAGGTGACGCGGAGAAAATGTTGAACTGCTGAACGTTCATCCGGGAGTTATCGATCTTTGAATTGCTGTGATTGGGCGAAGAAAAATCGCACGATCGTCTGGTTAGGCTCGTTTTGAAGCGGAAAGCATCTACTTTCGCTCAGGCTACACTGAATTTTTTGGAAGATTTTGTTGTTGTTAATAACGAAGGGAACTGGGACCTTTTACGCGAGTAAATTGACGACTCGAGATATATTCCTATTATTAATATTATTATTATTATTAACACTAAAACGAGTAGTTTATTATTAATTACCAAAATTGACGACTCGAGATATATTCCTATTATTATTATTATTATTATTATTATTATTATTATTATTATTATGATTATTAACACTAAAACGAGTAGTTTATTATTAATTATAAGACTCGGCGTTTCCACAAGCTTCCGAATATCAAAAGTCAATAAACGAATTAAAACTGCGATGCTGTTACTCGTATCTCATAAACGATCAATATTAAGCATATACAAAATTTGTCAGAAGATTACGCACTATAAAATGTTCGATTTTATTACTTGCAGTATTCGGGGCATCCGCAGTAATACCAGCACACACCCTACGCATCGCCCCAAACGAAGGTGAAATAAAGATTCCACTCCCCTTCAAATCGTCACCGTTGATATATTCACGAATATTTTTACAAAATGAGCTTAACCAGCTGGAGAAGAACAAGGATATTTTTATAGTTCTCCTCGTAATCTCCGCCTCGGGGGAGTACCGCGAGTCCTCCGGGCTGCAATCTACAGAGCGTATTGACACGATAAGGATCTCCTCGGTTCCGGGGAGTCACGGAACGATGTTCCCCTAATTCGTACGTGCAGCCACCGTGCGCGACACCGTTCGCTATCACCGGCGAAACGACGAGAGTTTCCATTTCCTGCGAAGAACGTCCGTGAAACAGACCGGCGGCTTTGACCCTCAGAGAGACGGAATTATTTCCTGCGAACGTGAATCGGTTAGCCCCGGTTTCGTGTATGCTTATCGGAGGATCACGATCGACGCTCGCAATCGGGGGGTCTTGGCAATCGCTCACCGTCGATCCCTTTGCCCCGGAGGACCTATCTCCCTCGCTTCTTCGAGATGAAAGCGATCTTGAGCAGGTTGACGACGGGCGCCTCGAGTCCGATGGAGATGCAGAACGACATCAAGTACGAGGCGACGAGATTCCCGAAGTACAGGATCAACTGGAAACACCGATATGTCAGGTTCGATTCGACGGAGGACTGGCCGTTGGATTATGGTTTTCGGTAAACGAGAATCGAGACGCTTTGCCCCACGGACGGAACTGTATTAGCTCTGTCGAAGAAAGTGGAAATCTGCAGATTGGATCCGCGTCGGATCTGCAATGTGATCCTCCTTTCGCCCTCCCTAGACTTAGGATGTCTGCTCTATGGTATTGCATAGATAACGTGATATCTAATCTCGAAGATAAGTTACAACGCGTCGAAGACTCGAAGCAGCGACCAGGTCTTTTCGAACATTTCTTAATACAGTAATGTCTCCCTTACTGACGCTCGGATTGTCCACTAAAATGGATAATTTGGGAAGAAGAGACACGATTATTCGAGCCTTGCGGCTCGTTTTTATAATTGTGGACAATTAATTGTGGATATAAAAATAAACCGCAAGGCTCGAGTAATCGTATCTCCTCTTCCCGAATTGTTCATTTTTGTGGTCAATCTGGGCGTCAATTGGAGAAACATTGCTGTACTGCCGTCAAGATGTCAAAACGACCGCTTTCACTTCCCTTATTTAAAAATGCCAGGCATTATAAAAAAGACTCTTTCTTACAAGATAGGTTTCTTAACGCGAGCAGACATTACAATAATAAATAAATAACAAAGAAAAGAAAAAGAATCGCATTTTACAGAACCGCCTTGTTTCACGTCGCCTTCGACACTCGGCGCATCCAGCGTTAAACCCATCGAAAGACCTACTACTATGCTGTTAAAAAATATACTAGTCCATTTAGGAGAGTTTAAAGAATCGCCCGGCGCGATAAACGTTCGCCCAAATTCTACAGAGCTGCGACAGGAAAAAATTCCCAAACCTGCTGGCTCGACTTTTCTCAATTACGGACCCACGCTTCTGCTACATCGCGCGAACATAACTCACGCTCGGATACACAGTAACGTCTCCCTAATTGACGCTCAGATTGTCCATAAAAAAATGAACAATTTGGGAAGAGAAGCCTCGCGCATTCGAGCCTTGCTATTCGTTCTTATAGTTACCGATCGTCAACGATTATAAAATACATGATACAAAGCCGAAATAATCGTATCTCCTGTTCCCGAATTGTCCATTTCTCTGCGCAATCTAAGCGTCAGTTATGGAGACATTATACTGTACACGGTTTCCGGAAATTTCGCGGACGGATACACGAGTTCGCGGAATGGCTAGCCGCGAAGCCATTAGAAATCATAGACCGCGCGTATATATCGCCGAGAAATCGATGGAATTTCTCGGTAGAGTTTTCGCGTCGGGTTACGAGGGACGTCTCAATAGCGTCTCGCTGAAAGCATGAATGGACTTCGCCGATGGGAAGACCGATGGGGTCCTCACCACGAGATCGTTGTGTAGATGCAGCGGCCCGTCCATCTGGGTGACGGTGATCATCATGATGACAGGGTGCACCAGGTACGCGCAGTAAGTCAGCCTCGATAGCGGATACATCAGCCGCAGGGACAGCAGGCTGTCGATCATTTTGGCGGATCCGGTGCAGCATTGAATCACGATGAAGGATACGGCGACGGCCCAGGCGGTGTGTCCCAAGGCGGCGTACACGGAGCTCACAGTCACCGTTAAATTTCCGGGGTAAAGACCGTAAACCAGCGAGAACATTACGCCGCTCGATATCAGCCAGCCGATGGCCCGCGCCGCCTGCAACACACAAGTTCCACCGGTCCGCAAAATGTCATCTCGGGTCCCTTCGGCCCCTCGTTCCTCCCCCCACCCCCCGATCAATTCTTGGGTCTTGGGCGACCGTCCCTTTCATCGGGCCACGTCGCCAGATGTCGACTGCGACACGGGAAAAGTCGTTTGCTACCACTTCTGCTAAGAAGGAAAGGTCTTCAGGTGAACCTCAAATAGTTTTTGAACCCTTGGCTTTTCGATCAGCCGTTGCACAATGGCAGGGCTGCAATCGTTGAAGCCAGAGGCACCCAGTTTTGAGAAAGATGTTACAGTATTTTCGAAAGAATTGTCACGTTATTAAATTTGTCTGTGTTCGATAAATTGATGAATAATAGAAGCGACATAGAAGTAGACATAACCTTGACATAACCTTGACATAACCTCGAATAGTTTTTGAACCCTTGGCTTTTCGATCAGCCTTTGCACAATGGCAGGGTTGCAATCGTTGAAGCCAAAGGCACCCAGTTTTAAGAACACACGGTTAACCCTTTGTATTCGAATGGAGACTCTGAGGCGATGCTAAAAATTGTTACAGTATTTTCAAAGGAATTGTCACGTTATTAGATTTGTCTGTGTTCGATAAATTGATGAATAATAGAAGCGACATAGAAGTAGACATAACCTTGACATAACCTCAAAATAGTGTCTTAACCCTTGACTTTTCGATCAGCCGTTGCACAATGGCAGAGCTGCAATCGTTGAAGCCAGAGGCACCCAGTTTTAGGGACATGCGCTTAACCCTTTGTACTCGAATGGCGAACACTTAGGTAATGCTAAAAATTGTTACAGTATTTTCCAAAGAATTGTCACGTTATTAAATTTGTTTGTGTTCGACAAATTTATAAATAATAGAAGTGTTCTATAATTAAACACGTTCAATTTCACGTGTATCAAATAGAAAAGCGATCATAACAAATGGAGATGCTGTAGGTTGAAACAAATGTCTTCATTTTGGAGTTAAAACAGTTTCGAGTGCAAAGGGTTAATAGTTTTTGAGATATTTCACGTCGAAGTTTTGTTCCCTATGGAAGTACACGCGCAGCTGGTTACCTTAAAATTGCCTGAATTAAAATGAACAGTTCTTTACTCGTAATTTTATTTCATTAAAAATATTATTATTAGTTAATCTAAAGAACCTGTTATTCAAATTTTGAGCACTTTGATATAATTAAGACAATATTAAGATATATATTTTATAATAGATATATAATATTAAGATATATAAATAACATTAAAATAGAGAGAGAATGACACTTCTTAAAATTCGAACGAAACAAACAATAAAATCGGCTACAGTATTTACGACAATGATTAATTGGTTCACTAATTTCATTAATTTTAAATGCGACGCGACTTTAAAATAACCAGCCTGTATTTCCAGAAAGAGAAGCTCGGACGCTATTAATCATTTCATCTCGAAAGGTGATACCATTAGCTTGAAGTTCTGCCATTGTGCGAAATCTGATCAAAAAGTCAGGGTTACGCCGGCGACCTTTCCCCTTAAGCTAGATCACGAGCATCTGAAATTGACCACCAATCGATTCCAGACTTCTGCAAGCACAGCGTGATAGAAGTCGCGGAAAATCGAACCGGTAATCCCGCGAATGAAATGTTTATGCGGCTGCAACGTGTGCAGCTTTGCCGGCCGCAATTTCAAGAAAAGCTTTCTAGTTTCCCTATTCATGGAACTTTAATCCATCTTCCGACCAGCCTTCGATCGACGCACAATGAACGAACTTCGATGGATTATGCTCGCGAGAGTTTATTTTACGAGTGGATACGTCAGCAGAAAGTTACGCGCGAAGGTACTCTAGGAAAACAGGCATATCTGGACAGAGTCCAAACGAGAGCCCGTACTTCTTGCGTTGGCCGCGTTCGCGAGCGTCTCAGAAGTTCGGCCGCGAACGTTCGCATTCGAGACCGCGCTAAACGACGAGGAGAAACCCCGTGCGTTGCCTTCAGGCGATGCTTTTTGCATTAAGGACAGTCGCTGGCATCGATCAACCGCGGACTATAAATCAAGTCCGGAGTCCATTAAAATAATCCCGAAAAGACCGCTGGCGTCTCTCCTCGTGAAATGTATTCTTCGCGTTCTAAGAATTATACGATCGCTGGCAACAAGTATTCGAATACTTTTTGAAAGGTGATAACTTTCTTGAAACGTGAACCGAATGGCTTGAATTTCTTTTTTGATTTTATCGAGAATTGTTTACTGTACAACGACTAAAACACCTCTTTTTTTCATTGTCTTATTACATAATTTCGTTTATTTTTTTATTTTATTTTATTTATTTCGTTTATATCATTATATACTTTATATGTATTTTTATTATTTTATATTTTTATATTCTTATATGTTTGTGTATTTTTACTGTTTCATATTTTTATATTTTTGTATTTTACACATATTTCTATTATTTCATGTTTTTATATTTTTGTATTTTACACATATTTCTATTATTTTATGTTTTTATATTTTTGTATATCTTTACTGTTTTATATTTTTATATTTTTGTATATTTTTACTGTTTTAGATTTTTATATTTTTGTATATTTTTACTGTTTCATATTTTTATATTTGTGTATATTTTTATTATTTTATATTTTCGTATTTTATACATATTTCTATTATTTTATATTTTTATATTTTGTATATCTTTACTGTTTTATATTTTTATATTTTTGTATATTTTTACTGTTTTAGATTTTTATATTTTTGTATATTTTTACTGTTTCATATTTTTATATTTGTGTATATTTTTATTATTTTATATTTTCGTATTTTATACATATTTCTATTATTTTATATTTTTATATATTTTGCTGTTATATAATGGCAAAAAGAGGTTTTCTAACGTTTTCTCTGGAACGAGAATTGTTCAAAATGCGTCGAATTCGGTTACCGATTTCCGGAAGAAAAATCGTCGGGCGTCCGCTAATTTTCGGTCTGTTCTACGAGCTGTAATTCCCGTCGATAGTCGTCGGTTTCTTACCAGCGGCAGCTTCAGCTTGCAGTTCGTCTTGAAGAGAATGTATCCTGTGATGATGCCGACGAAGTAGGGCCCGGCCCTCATCCAGGGTTTATCGTACAGCTCGTCGAAGAGGGCGAACGGTTCCTGGATCCTGCGGCGAGAACGGAAGATCGGGAATTGAGAGCGGGAAAACTCGATGCTCGTTCGGGTCCGAACGATTATAAGATAACTGCCCGCCGTAAAGTTGAACGGGACCCAGAAGCCGGGCCGCTAGCAGGCCAGCAGGTATTGGAAATTGACCCATTACCCACTCCAATAAGCTCTAATTCTATTAGAACTCGCTGATACCACTTCAGAACCCGGCGTGTTGCGAACTGTTACGCCCGGTTAACCCTTTGCTATTTCGCGCGGCGAGCCATTAACGCTTGAAGTTGCAGCGCGGCGAACGGGAAGTTGTAAATTCGCGTTTTTCGATCGCTCTTAAAAACAGAAACGGCGACCGTTCGACAAAAGGTAAATGCAAAACACGGTTCTACGCGTAAAACTAGGGGGACGGGGTCGAATAAAATTTTATCGTACGAAGCCTGGCTCTCGAGTTAACAAGCCGCGAAAATTTGCAGCAAGTAGAATCGGCCGGCCATGGTCAGACGCGGTCGCCTCGGATTCGAGCGCAATTATCTCGGAAACGGAGCGTCCTGTTGGAAAATTTGATTTCACCTTTTCGATACGGTTTTCCACGCGGAATCGTTCTATCTAGGCGCCGATTTAAATAGACCAAGCTAGTTGCCTCGTATTCGTCGCACGAAATTCAGAGTTAACGAGGCAACGCGCTTGTCTCGAGATTGTGAAAAGTTCGACAGGCGTTTCATGCGCGGAATTTCAGAACGGTCGATTACCTGGCGACGTAGTCGTTGCTGTAGGCCACGAGGAACGTGGTGAGCCACGAGGAGGCGAGCAGAAGCAGGACGAGACCGGCGACGACCTTTAAAAATCTGACGGACAGCAGCAGCAGAAGTATCCCGAGAACGTAGAATTGCGTGTCGTTTGCCATGTACCAGCTCCACAGCATACACTGGAAAGTTGTTAATCGAGTATATTCATTGGATAACAGCGATGACGGGCTCGGACCGTGCCGGGGTTTGCAAAACCGTCGGGAGAAAGATACTTGACCCGGAGAACCATAAGTCCGGCCGGGCGAGAATTCGTCGAAAATCGAAAGTCGTCGCCCGCGACGACCGTGTGAAGCAAGGCGACATTCCAACGTCTCCGACGCCTAATCTAATCGCACCGGATATGCTCTTATAAATATTTACATGTATAAAAACGCGCGGACCTTCGAATAAAGCAGTCATTGACGAGTTCGATTCCAACGAAGCCACACCTCGTTGGTCTCATTAAAAACCTTCATTATTCGCTCCGTGTTCTAAGCGTTACTTTTTGGTATTTTCTACGGAAATACTTAATTACTTTCGTTCAGGCAAGATCTTTTGTGAACCTTAACCTTTTAGGCACGACGCGCCACTATCTGTCTCTTATACACATCTAGATGTGTATAAGAGACAGCTATAGTGGCGTGTCGTTCTAAAAGATGATATCCGCGGAAGCCACTATAGTGGCGCGTCGTCCAGAGAGATGACATCCGCGAAAGCCACTATAGTGGCGCGTCGTCCAGAGAGATGACATCCGCGAAAGCCACTATAGTGGCGCGTCGTCCAGAGAGATGACATCCGCGAAAGCCACTATAGTGGCGCGTCGTCCAGAGAGATGACATCCGCGAAAGCCACTATAGTGGCGCGTCGTCCAGAGAGATGACATCCGCGAAAGCCACTATAGTGGCGCGTCGTCCAGAGAGATGACATCCGCGAAAGCCACTATAGTGGCGCGTCGTCCAGAGAGATGACATCCGCGAAAGCCACTATAGTGGCGCGTCGTCCAGAGAGATGACATCCGCGAAAGCCACTATAGTGGCGCGTCGTCCAGAGAGATGACATCCGCGAAAGCCACTATAGTGGCGCGTCGTCCAGAGAGATGACATCCGCGAAAGCCACTATAGTGGCGCGTCGTCCAGAGAGATGACATCCGCGAAAGCCACTATAGTGGCGCGTCGTCCAGAGAGATGACATCCGCGAAAGCCACTATAGTGGCGCGTCGTCCAGAGAGATGACATCCGCGAAAGCCACTATAGTGGCGCGTCGTCCAGAGAGATGACATCCGCGAAAGCCACTATAGTGGCGCGTCGTCCAGAGAGATGACATCCGCGAAAGCCACTATAGTGGCGCGTCGTCCAGAGAGATGACATCCGCGAAAGCCACTATAGTGGCGCGTCGTCCAGAGAGATGACATCCGCGAAAGCCACTATAGTGGCGCGTCGTCCAGAGAGATGACATCCGCGAAAGCCACTATAGTGGCGCGTCGTCCAGAGAGATGACATCCGCGAAAGCCACTATAGTGGCGCGTCGTCCAGAGAGATGACATCCGCGAAAGCCACTATAGTGGCGCGTCGTCCAGAGAGATGACATCCGCGAAAGCCACTATAGTGGCGCGTCGTCCAGAGAGATGACATCCGCGAAAGCCACTATAGTGGCGCGTCGTCCAGAGAGATGACATCCGCGAAAGCCACTATAGTGGCGCGTCGTCCAGAGAGATGACATCCGCGAAAGCCACTATAGTGGCGCGTCGTCCAGAGAGATGACATCCGCGAAAGCCACTATAGTGGCGCGTCGTCCAGAGAGATGACATCCGCGAAAGCCACTATAGTGGCGCGTCGTGCCTAAAAGGCTGTCTCTTATACACATCTAGATGTGTATAAGAGACAGGTATATACAGTGTCAGACTCTGTACAGTACACATCAGACTCTGCCGTCCAGAGAAATAGAATCGCGCAGAATTCTGCCGTACCTAAAAGGTTAAGTAATAATTCTAAGTTTCGCGATTATTTGAACTTAACCATCTTCATACGAATCGGTGAATTCGCCCGTACTATAGAAGAGTATAAAGGAGCATACGTCATTTCTTCAAGACCTGATACGGTCCCGTGACAACCGCGTCGATTCGAAACAGCGGTCGTCCATGCTCGCTGTTAGGCTCTCGCAGATCGCCGTGCTCCTCTCGTTTATTCTTTCTCGAACGTTTTCCTTCCACGAATCACGGAATCCTACGCGTTCCGATAAATTCTTGCCGCGGCGTAACGCACATTCCTCTTCGCGAATCACCGATCATTTGGGTCGACCAACGAAGGATAACAGAGGCGCGACGTGTAATGCGTCAGGATAAAAATTCCCGGCTCCGTTGGAACTTCATTCTCGGCTGTGTGCTGAAGAAATTATTATTCCCCGATAGGAAAATATTGTTCTATCGATGACGTCAAGCTTGCTCAACTATCCGACTCTCAATGCCGCATACAAATTATCCGATCGTTTAGACAATTTCTCCTGGACGATGTTACACGAGCCTGATCCCTTCCCCCTTCCCTCAACCGCGAGCATTTTTCATTATCGACTAGTGTAGCCGATCTGCGGGATCACATACTAATTGCTTCTTCATTTTTCTTCGTAATTGCAAGGAAAATTGTGAAACGGGGAATCGAAGTAAATTCTCCGTAATTCGCGCTCAGATTGTGCACTAAATTCTCCCTAATTTGCGCTTAGATTGCGCACCGAATTGCCCATTTTGACTTGTTCAGATTGCGCACTAAATTCTCCCTAATTCGTGCTCAGATTGTGCACCAAATTCTCCCTAATTCGCGCTCAGATTGTGCACCAAATTCTCCCTAATTCGCGCTCAGATTGCGCACTAAATTCTCCCTAATTCGCGCTCAGATTGTGCACAAAATTCTCCCTAATTCACGCTCAAATTGCGCACCAAATTCTCCCTAATTCGCGCTCAATTTGCGCACCAAATTGTCCATTTTGACGCGCAATCTGATGGCGAATTAGAGAAAAGGTAAGAACGATTAATTTCGATTGTTTATTTACCATTTTTACGTCAATGATAACGCAATAAACATCCGTTATCCGCGACACCGCTAATAACGCGGTTAAGTAATTTTCGATAAATGTAGCAGTTAAGCGTTAATTTACGAAACTGCTGGTTTACAGTGGGTCAGCATGGCATTAAACGCAACAGTCGATTTCCTGTATTGAAAAAGTCTGCAATTTTCGTTTTAACGATAATCTTCGGCATCCTGGTTTTCGTAAGAGGACACCGCAAAAAGCGTGTTGCAAATAGTTGGCGACCGATTTTTCACGACGAACGGGCGGAACGTGTATCCGGCTGGTTTCCATGGTTGCTCGAGGAATGGTCGCGTCTTCGACGGTGAAACCGGTAATTAACCGACTCTTCTCCGAGCATCGGTGAAATTGATTTTAGGATGGCTAGACAGGGCCGCGTTGTCGCGCACGCCGCTTACGAACTTTCTCCGAGCGATGGAATTAATTATCGGAAAACGATCGAGAGACCCCGGACACCTTCCTCGTCCGTCGTCTTCCCTCCGCCGCTCTCTGAAATTTTCCTCCTGCACTTTCCTTTTAATAACCTTCGTTTTCCGACTGCTCGCGATCGCGCACGCGTTGCACGGACATTAAATCGTCGCGCGCTCCCGTGATTTCCCGATTTTTCGGAGATCTTCCGTACTGTCTGCGAGCCGAACTCTCGCTTCGAGGGATGTTCGCGATCTCGAATAGAAGTTTTTCTTGGAAACTAAATAATTGTATACCAAAGATTCGATGGCGAACAGTGTCAGATCTTAATCTTTTTGGAAACTGTTTTAAAACACTGATAACCGCTATTATCGACATATATTAACCCTTTGCACTCGAGCGGCGAGTCCGAGGCGCCACTAAAAATTGTTATAGCATTTTTCATCGAGCAATCGTAATAGTATCAGATTTGTTGTATTTAAAAAACTGTTAAAATTGCAATTATTGNATACCAAAGATTCGATGGCGAACAGTGTCAGATCTTAATCTTTTTGGAAACTGTTTTAAAACACTGATAACCGCTATTATCGACATATATTAACCCTTTGCACTCGAGCGGCGAGTCCGAGGCGCCACTAAAAATTGTTATAGCATTTTTCATCGAGCAATCGTAATAGTATCAGATTTGTTGTATTTAAAAAACTGTTAAAATTGCAATTATTGTAGTTGCCAATAGGCACAATCGCGTTGCACGGACATTAAATCGACGCGCGCTCCCGTGATTTCCCGATTTTTCGGAGATTTTTCGTACTGCCTGCGAGCCGAACTCTCGCTTCGAGGGATGTTCGCGATCTCGAATAGAAGTTTTTCTTGGAAACTAAATAATTGTTTACCAAAGATTCGATGGCGAACAGTGTCAGATCTTAATCTTTTTGGAAACTGTTTTAAAACACTGATAACCGCTATTATCGACATATATTAACCCTTTGCACTCGAGCGGCGAGTCCGAGGCGCCACTAAAAATTGTTATAGCATTTTTCATCGAGCAATCGTAATAGTATCAGATTTGTTGTATTTAAAAAACTGTTAAAATTGCAATTATTGTAGTTGCCAATAGGCACAATCGCGTTGCACGGACATTAAATCGACGCGCGCTCCCGTGATTTCCCGATTTTTCGGAGATTTTTCGTACTGCCTGCGAGCCGAACTCTCGCTTCGAGGGATGTTCGCGATCTCGAATAGAAGTTTTTCTTGGAAACTAAATAATTGTTTACTAAAAATTCGAGGGTGAACAGTGTCAGATCTCAATTTTCTCGAAAAACTGTTTTAAAACACGGCTTAGCTATTATCGACACATATATTAACCCTTTGCACTCGAGCGGCGAGTCCGAGGCGCCACTAAAAACTGCTGTAGCATTTTTCATTAATTAATTGTAACAGTATCAGATTTGTCGTATTTAAAAAACTGTTAAATTTGCAATTATTCTAGTTGCCATTAGGCACAATTTCAGACGCATAAACTGCACCGAATCACGTAAAACGGAAATACTGCAGGTTAGAATACGTCTTTTGGATTTCGAATTGAAATAGCTCCGACTGCGAAGGATTAAAACTTGTGTCTCACAGACTACTCTAATGTTTATTACGTTATAATTGACATAAAAGCGGTAAAAATATATATATAAAAATATATATATATTATATATATTTATAGTTTATATATATATATATATAAACCGGAATCAATTGCACTCACTTTGCACATCGACAACGAAGCAAATGTGTGAAAAATATCCCTCGATTCACAATTTCTCTTCACAATTGCACAATTACATTTACAATTTTTCATCATTGATGAAAAAGTAATTAATAACGTTCTCACAGACCTGAAATAATAGCTACGATAACGAAATCCAATCTGCAAGCTCGAAATTTGTCGCAGTTGTACCGTAAATTCTCCCTAATTCTCGCTAATTCGCGCTCAGATCGCGCACAAAAATGGACGATTCGAAAAGTAGAGATACGATTATTCAATCCACGTGGCTCCTTTTCACAGTTACCGATCGCCAACAACGCTAAAAACGAGCCGCGAGCTTCCTCTCTCCAAATTCTCCGCTTCTCCACTCGATCTGTGCGCGAATCCTGCATAAATTGCCGCACTTGGTTCCCCAAATCCCAGGAAAATTCTATTAAGAACGTAACGCGAACGCAAACGTAACGACGAGCAATTTCGCTGGAAAACTGCAACGGAAGGTCTGCACCTCTGATATTCAAAAAGCGATCTTTTCTCCTCCCGTTGTCCGCGTGCCGCGCCATAAGTCAACCCGCCGGACCGAGACCGGGTTTTATGGACTCGCCGGATTTAGTGTCGGTTATATGGTTATCCCGTGCCAAGTATACTTCGGTCGTAGTTCGAGAGACGGGGCCCGGTGCTTACCATTTCCGTTCGTGGGTACAGAGAGTTTAGGTAGAGCGCGTTCCTCCACCAGAACTTTTCGCAGGTCAAGTGATCGAGGATCACCGGCGAGAAGACGGTCCTGGCCTGGGCCTGTTTTATGGCGATCTCGTTGATCCCAAGAACAAAGAGATACGCCGGCGTCAACCTGGATAAAATGGATATCGAGAGAAGCGGGTCAGTGTCGGTTGCAGATGGCCGCCGAATCGAACGAGATCGGCACGGCCGTTCGATTCGCTCGACGCGACCGTTCCCATCTTCGTTCGACGACGCTCACGTGTCGCGGCTCGGACAGTTTTCTATCGATCTTTGATGGATGAACCGTGGCCGGTGTTACGTCGGGACGTCACGTTCGCGAAACGAACCCGAAAGCGCTCTGCGGCCTCTCTCTTTTCACCCGAGCGAGCTTCCGACGATCCGACGAGACAGAGCTGTTACGGAGGAGATAGCGCGCGTTTCCACTCACCTAATAAATCTGTAGAGCACCATGATGACGAATTTCGTGAAGCACGTCCTCGTGAAGCTCTCTTTGTCCGTCTTCAAGCTGCCCGATGACCGATAGAACAGGATCGTGACCAGCAGGCCGCTGCAACGAACGCGCGCATACGGGTTTATTATCGCTCTGTCGGGTCATTGTTTTGTTTAACTGGCTGTCTATGGGGTTATTCGACGGTTTCCAGAATCTACGGTTCGCGATCTAGGACGTTTGAACTATCAGGAAATAGATTAAAATCGTTGGTTAAATTTTGATAGCTGATGCTAATCACGGGGACCCTGTGTAGCTGCGCCCCGTCAGGATTTTCGTGGAATTTTGTCATCTTTTTTGACGCTGTTTTAATCGATCAAATTTTATATTATCTCATCAAATATACAAGGTATTCCAAAATTATGGTACTTCCAGAAAGTAAAGGGTTCCTGAGGTTATTTGAAGTAACTTTTTCCTTAGCGGAGATGTAATGCGTGGCTTCGTTTACGAGTTATTAACGAAAAACATTGGCCAATGAGAAATCGCGACCACCGCCGCCGCGTCACATAGCCTGCGCGACACGGCAATGGCTGCAAGGGCGGAGCGCTGGCCGCACTCGCCCTCTCATTGGTCATCGTTTTTCGTTAATAACTCGTAAACAAAGCTATGAATTGCATTTTCTCTAAGGAAAAAGTTTCTTCAAATGACCTAAGGAATCCCCCATTTCTCGGAAATACCATAATGTTGGGACACCCTGTATATTATATTAATACGTATCGTACAAATATATCGACTGTAATGATGTTTGCGAATATCGATGCATACGCGAATATTCGATATTGCCTTCATAGTAAATTTGTGCATCGGTTATGTTTACACGTGTGCAAGAAGCAATTGATTAACGTTGTTACCATTTTCATAGAGAAGGTTCACGCTACGAGTTAATAATGTGTACCGAATAAGAAAATATTAGGTCTACCGGAAAGTTCTGTCCGTTTTTGAATTGAAATATAACACAATTTTCATACATTTAATAATATTTATTGATAATATTATTAATAATATTTAATTAATAATAATAATATATGTTATTTATATTAATAATTATTATTACATTATCGTTATATATATATAATATAACGATAATAATATAATATATTATTAATATATAATATATAATAATATATATACTATTATATATTATTATAATAATATATTTAATTAATATTATTTATTAATATTTATTATCTATCGTTACTTATGACTTCTTGCCAGCGTGATGGCAACTTGTAAATGCCATTTTTAGAAAATGATTTATTTTTAGAGGCGAAGAACTCAACTAGTGCTTGCCTGACATCAGCTTCAGTTTTGAATGTTTTTTCCTGTAGAAAGTTTTGCAAAGAGAGAAACAAGTGATAATCGAAGGGTGCTAGGTCTGGGGAGTACGGTGGATGCGACAGAATTTCCCAGCCTAGCTCTGCGATTTTCTGACGAGTCGCCAAAGCAGCATATGGTCTGGCATTATCATCGGTATAGCCATGTTTTCATGATCGCGTCTCGCTTAACACGTTCCGTGCCACGTGTACCATCGATGGTACACGCTTGCATGTTTACTTAGTGAACTGAACAAATTGTTTACAAGAAATTTAGAACCGAAGAATCAATTTCCACCGCAAGAATGGGCGTTGATAAGTTTTTGTTACGTTGTTATGTGTACGAGAATTAATAATTGCACGTAATACATCAAGTTTTAGTAAAATATCAAAGTGTGAAGATTCGAGTAGAAAAAGCTCGGCACGGAACGTGTTAATAATGACATGAGACATCTTTGTTTCAGTTTATTTAGGAGAGTACACGTGTGTAAATGCAAATCAACATGTGCATATGGATTGAAACTTGAAGTGACACTATCGGACAGAACTTTCCGGCAGACCTAATATAAAATTTAATTCGTTGAAAAACTCCTAGAGACACGCTCCACGAAATTTCATCAAAATCCCGGGGGGTTTACAGCTGCGGGGCCCTCTCTGTAACTAAAACAGAGGTCCGTCTACCGAAATGAAAGGGAAATAATTGGAGAAACTGGCAGAAAACTGCCAAAAAGCAACGCGGAAACGAGCCGCGACTGCAAAAACAATTTCACGGTTTCGCTCGTTGCTTCCGTGGCATGCTGGTAATTCCGTAAGAGCGCGGCGGGTTTCTCATTTAATAATCCGCGAAAAAATCAACGAACGACCCGCGGGAAAGGCGTGAATTTGATTGACATTTCGCGTGATTGTCGCGATTACCAAAGAATGCAGAAACCGGCCGGTAATCGCTTCTTTCGCGCATAATAGCCGGGCCCGGCCGGTTCCTCGCGATAAGTGGGACGCGATATCCGCGGGTCAAGAGGTCGGCTAATCGGCTTGCCGGGAGTAGGAGGAGGATATCTAATTTAACGCGACTAAAATATCTAATTTAAAGTCGTCTGTTTTTTCTTTTTTTGGTCGCATAGCAGAATCGCGCGAGTAGACCGAAAAAATGTCCGAGAAAACGAGCGTGGCGCTAAAATGTCTCGCTCCTTTCGAACATTGTCCGTTCAAATATCGTCGCGAGAACGTATACCGTCGCATTCAGGAGAATCTGCATAATTATTCACCGCGAGAAACATTTGCACAGCTCTCGCGAACACGGACGGAAAAGTCCCGCACGCTGTGTCCTTTCCAAATCGCGATGCTGCACGATCATGCTTCCACTAAGTTGCTCGCAACTAGCGTCGAGAAATTTGCAGCTCGTCGATACTTTTCGGAGAGACCGACAGACCAAGGTGTACAGAAGGGCGGTGATTTTTATCTCGCAACGATGCAGCAGAGAAAAACGACGATCGATCTCTTGCGAAACATTGCGGCGGCTCGTCCGTCGCGAAAGTTTCGCGTCGCCGAAGAGGACGTTTCGGGACGCGAGCGTCCCGGGGCCTGATTGGCCGTCGATCTGGAAATGAGCCGTTTATTTTGAAAGTGGCATAAGTCACTTCACCGTAATGAAAAGTGGTGATTTTTTAATGTTTATACGAAATGATTTATACTGAGAAAAATATCAGTATCCCGAGATAACAAATACAAGTAAATCTTCTCGAAAGTTAGCATCCAGCATTTTTAAACCTGTTAAAACGCAAACCCTTAAATATATCGACTTAAAAACAAAGTGACTTATGTCACTTTCAAAATAAACGACTCATATATATATATACGTACGTACACAACGTTAAAGCACCCAAAGATTAGGACGCTAATGTTTGGGAATGCAGCAACCGTTGTACAGCACCCAGGGGATCTTATTCTACAGTTTCCTTAGATTACAGAGCGAAATTTCGCCCTACGGACCAAGAGCTAATTACGTTAGCGAATCAGACAATGACGCGACGATTGCGTCATCGCCGGTCCCGACGTGTTAAACAGTCGAAGATAAGGATGTTAACGCATCCGTATTTTTAAACGTGTTGAAACGCAAACCCTTAAATATATCGACTTAAAAACGAAGTGACCGACTTAAAAAACAAAGTGACTTGTGCCACTTTCAAACTAAACGGCTCAAATACGGGCCGTCGATTAATTACCTGATGAAGAAGAAGGTGTCCACGGAGAAGGTGGCGTTGCTGATCGTTTGGAACATGAAATTCCGCTCGGTGACGGTGCGCAGCGTCTTGTTCTCTGGAAATATCGCAAACAGGGAAAGTCATCGCTACGGCATTATCAGTGAAAGTTCCGCTCGATTCGGCGGATCGGGAGAACGGGAGGCTCGATGACGGTGGATCAAGAAAAACCGGTACGCTCCGTTACGTCACAATACGCGCGTGGTTCAGCATGGATCGCGCGCGCGCACGTGCGTGCTCGCGGTGAGCGCACATAGAAAGTGGAACGGTTTAATTGGACCTCTAGCGATATCAATTTGAGTCCGTAGCTCGGTGAAACATGATCGCAGGACACCACGTTTACCACGGACAGGCTGTCGCCTCGCCGACAGCGTAACGACGATTATGCCCCGCATTCGCGGCAGATCGTTAGATCGATGTTATTTCTTATTACGTGGTAAATTCCTTATTAATGCGATAATGAAAGTCCAACTGTTGCAACTGCGCGATGAAAAATCGATGGATAATACACCTGGGAACGCGTCGCGGAGGCTTCCACATTCTCGAGTTCAATTTTCCGAAGGTACAGTAATGTCTCTCTAATTGACGCTCAGATTGTACACGAATATGGACAATTTTGGGAAAGGAGATACGATTTTTCGAGCTTTGTGGCTCGTTTTTGTTATGGTTATCGATCGTCAACAACTATAAAAACGAGTTGCAAGGCTCGAACAATCGTATTTCCTCTTCCCAAATTGTCCATTTTTGTGCACAAAATCTGAGCGTCAGTAAGGGAGACATTTCTGTATTTCTACTGCTCGATTTTACGTCCCTTCTTGGGACAACGGATCCGAGATATCGCGAGCGGTGCTTCTTCGTCGAAAATTTCGCAGATCCGATTGCCCTGCGGGTATTGACAAGTTTTTGCTCGACTGAGATCACCGTGGAGGCTTTACGACGTCTTTTCGCGGATTACGGTAATTTCTCCCAGAAATGTTCGGAGTTGAAAACGGCAGATTTGGGAATACTAAGTCGCGATTCTTCGAGCTATGATAATGTTGGAATAAAAAACGATGACTTGACGTTTTTATTTCTGATTTTTTGACGCGATTCGGAGGCAATTCGGAGGCCACGTGACACGATTCGAAGGCAATTCGAGGATCACGTGACGCGATTCGAAGGCAATTCGGAGACCACGTGAAACGATTCAAAGGCAATTTGGTGGAAATTTATAGGTCACGTGAAATGATTCGAAGAAAAATTCAGAGGCGACGTGACATGATTCGAAGGCAATTCGGTGGCAATTCGGAGGCCACGTGATACGATTCGAAGGCAATTCGGAGGCAATTCAGGGTTCACGTGACACGATTCGAAGGAAATTCAGAGGCCACGTTACATGATTCAAAGGCAATTCGCAGGCCACGTGACACGATTCGAAGGCAATTCCATCGAGCCTTAACATCGACGTAGCAATGAATCACACAGACGTAGGACCAGCACATAGAAATTCACAGCAAAATTTGCCATTTCCAGGAGAAATTACTGCAATTACTTCCCTTCTCCCGCAGTCGCAACTAGCAAACAACAAAGGAATATTGTCCAAGTTATTTTTACAGAATTGAAACTCAAAGCTTTCGAACGATTTTGAAGCTCGTCGCGGCAAGGGACCGGTCTCGACTCCGCGATATCCGCCGCGCGAAGCACCATACCATCGAGCGATCTCATCGCGGGAACATCGAGCGTGCGGCGAATACGAAGTGTTTCGAATAATCCGCTGGAGAAACTAATGACTCTCCGATGGCGAGATAGGTCAAGCAAACAAGTCCGCGGCGGCGGCGCGAACGGGTCGCCGTAGTTCTGGCGAAAATTTCGTGGGAAGTTGTGACGCGGCTTAGGGCAACGGATGGCGGTCTCGAAGGAGCAATTACGGTCTTGCATGCCGTTGATCGTTCGCGAACTACTGCCGCGGATTATTCGGAGCCGTTGCTGCTGCTGCTGCTGCAGCTTGGGCAGATGCCGGGTGATTAGGAGATTCTGTCGGGGAAGTTTACCGGCGATGGCGAAGACTTGTAGGTAGGTGTGCACCATGACGACCCAGCCGAGGGAGAACACCCGGAGCCCGTGGAGGCAGGTCAGGCTGTCTCTAGCCGCGGGCTCGGTGCTAATGATTTTGCTGCCGTTCGTGATGGGATTAAAGGCGGCCAAACATTTGATCCAGAGACCTGTACAGAGGTAAACAGGAGGGCAGAGCTTGCGATCAGTCGGTCGAACGCGCCGCGATCGGCGGAATACGGGGCCCGCGGGGGTGGAGAAGTTCGATCACCTCGCCTCTCGTCGATGCCGCCGTGATCGGCCAGATCCTTTTGCAGATCCTTGCCCTTCTCGATCAGCTCCTCCCCATTGTCCTGGCCCGTGGTCGACACGCCGCGCTCCTGGTTCAGGTTTTTGTTCGAGAAATTGCTCAGCCTCTCGTTGTTGTTCGACATGCTCGACGATTCCACGTCCTTGAAGCTCGACGTGGCCCGGCAATCGTAGATCGTCGCGCACAGCATCAGCAACCCTATCGCCCCTCCCACTCCTCTAAAAGAGAAACGAGATTGATCAGTCGCCGTGGATCCGACTTCGACGGTTATCTGGCAGAGACGTCGATATTTCTAGGGTGAAACGGGTGACACCACATGGGCGACGTATCGCGCGGGTGAAATTTAAGATAATGGGAATATTCGATGAATTTTCGGACATCTGTGTGTTATTTTCGACTCGCTGAAATAATTGAGAAAGAGAAAGAGATGTCTGCTTGATGACTCGTGTCCGCTGAAATGATAATTTTATTTTTATTAATATTAATATTATATTTATATGTAATATAATATTATTACTAGTATTAATATTATATTTATATGTAAAATAATATTATTACTAGTATTAATATTATATTTATATGTAATATAATATTATTACTAGTATTAATATTATATTTATATGTAATATAATATTATTACTAATATTAATTTTATATTTATATGTGATATAATATTATTACTAATATTAATAGTATATTTATATGCAATATATTATTACTAATATTAATATTATATTTATATGTAATATAATATTATTACTAATATTAATATTATATTTATATGCAATATAATATTATTATTAACATATTAATATTTCCATTAATTTTTATTTTGCATAAACATCCGCGATCTGGCAATTAGTACATCTCTGTTATAATCCGTGTACCTCGCGCCTAAGCAGGTACGCGCATAATGATACACAAGGTGTTCCACGGTTATGTTAACACCCGGAAATGAGGGATTCCTGAGATCGTTTGAAGTAAATTTCTCTCCTTCCTGGATGTTAACATAATTATCGGACACCCTGTACACGTTAGTTAACACATTACAGACATCTATATTTTGCTGGTACGCTTGCAAGCTTATCCTCGATTTGCATAAAAAATCGTGATCTCCGGTGTCCGGCTGTGAGATCGCGAATCACCCGGCGAACTTCGAGATTTATTAGAACGGCTCCAGAGGTTCGGGGCTACGAGATCCCCGAACGTGGAAGAGAAAAGTTAAAGGGATAGGGGAAATCGGTTACGATTTGAATATCTAAAAATTCCGAGATCTCTTCTCGGCTCGATTTTCCTACGAAGCTTCTCTACCACGGTGATGCCACGTCGGATTCGTCTTTTTTCTCCCGGTTGAGGGAAAAAAGTCGAACGACGGACAGGCAGCGTGCAAAAAAATTACGGCGCTCATTCCCGGAGACAGGGTTCTAGGAAAATGTGATTCATCGACGGGATGATTAATAGGGCCGCGAGTGATCGATGCATCATTGACCGGCAATTAATCACATCGACGAGCTAGCTGCTAATGAATTTTAAACTGGTTCGTCGTCCCCGTGCCGGTCGCTATTATGGGACAGCGGGATCGTCCTGGGAAAATTACGTGAACGCTAATGAATGCCATTAAAAGTAGCTTTACGATCGACGTTACCACTGCTCTAATTCACTGTCCGGGCATCCGCGTGTGGTCGATCAAGCATTCGTTTTAAGCATTCCAGAACTCGGGCCGGGAGAGACGCTCGATTAATCTCCTCGAAAGAAATTCGCGGGATCGGAGACGGAGACAAACAGAGAGAGATAGAGAAAGTGGCGAGCGAGAGAGAGAAAGCGAGAGAGAGAGCGAGCAAAAAAGAGAGAGAGAGAGAGAGAAAAAAAAGAGAGAGAGCGAGAGAGCGAGCAAGAAAGAGAGCGAGCAAAAAAAAAAGCGAGGAAAAAAGAGAGTGAGCAAGAGAGAGAGCAAGCAAGAGAGAGAGAGAGAGAGAGAGAGCGAGCAAAAAAGAAAGCGAGCAAGAGAGAGCGAGCAAAAAAGAAAGCGAGCAAGAGAGAGAGAGCGAGCAAAAAAGAGCGTGAGCAAGAGAGAGAGCAAGCAAGAGAGAGAGAGAGAGAGCGAGAAAGAGAGGGAGAGAGAGAGACAAACTATAAGAGAGAGGAACCACATAAAAAACCACGTGACGCAACCTTTCGCGAACTGTTATGCCAGCGGCGGCGTGCTCGATTTGTCGCGATGAAATAATATTTGTTCGTTAATCGGGTCCAAGCAGAAGCGCCGCAAAAAACACAGCGGCTCGACGAAAAATACACAACCAGCGTAAAAAGGTCGAGCGAGATATCGTTACGATGTAATAGCGGTCGCGGGTCACGGATCGCCGTTATTAATTTCGCGTTTTAATGCGCGCGTTTTAATGTTTGCGATTTAATGCGCGCGTTTTAATAGCCGGCCCATTCGGCACGCCCAAGGCGGATGCAAATTATGCACGCAAAAGTGTTCTCGTTATCGACTTCCTACACGATTGTCCTCTGGACATTCTTTAACCGTTCGCCGAAAGCCAAACGGAACCGTTCATTATATGTGTACAAGCGTAATTACGCGGTCAAAAATCGCTCGAGGGATGCTGTTCTTAAGCAGTTAGTTAGCTGTCTCAATCTCTGCTGAAAGTATACGGTATGAATTATGTTGTATCGAAATGGCTGTTCTCTTTTCTAATCTTATTACTAACATTTACTCTTATTTAATTAACTTGTCCAGTTAGCTGCTTCCGACGAGCACAATCTCTCGCCGTGAACACAAAATACTAAAAAATATACTAATAAATACTAATAAATATATATATATATATATATATACAACTAATATACTACTACTAATATATATAAATAAAAAACGAAACGAAAACAGTTAACTGGTTAAAGTTTCCACGGTCTTCTGAGAACGATCATTTTTCACGAGACACCGTCGACGCCCGGGCTTTGTACAACTTCGTATTCACAGCTATAGTGAAATCATACAACGTATCTAGAACCTATTTATTGCTGTCTAACGGCGAACCTATCGTGTCGATTGAAACGACCAGTTTCACACGTTTCATTGAAAATTTGTTGCAATTGTGGAAGCGCTTTCGCAGTAAATAATTGTATAAATTGTTTAAGTCGCGGTCGTACGCTGTGATAAAAATGCCAAGAAGTTCAAATAAATGCCTTATTTTTTGTAAAAAAAGGATCGCAGGTTGGTCACTTTAGCATTAGTATTTGTGCAAGCAAAAAAAAGCTAAACAAAGCTATCTTTCTATTTTTTTATCATTTTAAGAACTTCGGAACAATTTATCGACGTTGTCAGATCCTTTTATTTCATCTGCCGCTTTAAACAGCGTCCAGTTTTGACTGTAAGTGCACGAAATTCGCGGTATAGTGTCCGCTATACAGGGCATCCCAAAAATGTCTTGTAATACAGAAATGGCGGGTTCCTCAGATCATTTGAAGCAACTTCTTCCTTTACAAAAATTTTCTCCGAGGCACCGTTAACGAGTTATCAAGGAAAAACAGTGACCAATAAGAATCGAGTACGGCTGACGCGAGGCGATCCAGCCAACCACCGCACGAAGCCCAGTTCCGCTCATTGGTTCGGGCGCCTCGCGCCAGCTGAGCTCGCCTCTCATTGGTCACTGTTTTTGCTTAATAATTCGTTAACGGTGCCTCGGAGAAAATTTTTGTAAAGGAAAAAGTTGCTTCGAATAACCTGAGGAACCCGCCACTTTCGGATTGCGAGACATTTTCTGGACAACCTGTATAGTAATGTCTTCCTAACTGTCGCTCAGATTGTGCACAAAAACGTACAATTTGGAAAGAGGAAATACGATTATTCGTGTTTTCCTTCTCGTTGTTATAGTTATTGACAATATAAAAACGAACCGCAAGGCTCAAATAATCGTATCTCCTCTTCCCAAATTGTCCACTTTTGTGGAAAATCTGAGCGTCAATTAGAGAATCATTACTATACTTCGCGTAATAAAACAAATCTAGACGATCCTTTGCAACGCATTCGTTCCGCATTCCAGTAAAGGAAAAAAGATCTCTTTTTTGCGTTCCCGTGAGCGATAAAAGCCTGCAGCGTGGCCATGGTTCGGAGATGAAATCGTTTTTTGGATGTCGGTCTAATTGGACGATTCGGTATCGGTTAGTAGCCGGTCGTTAGCGGCGTTGCTAAAAATGTTGATTCGTTAAGCAACGATCGACAGGGACAGACTGAGTGGCAGCCAATACGTGGATCGTCAATCATCCTCGCGATGCCTGTAATTATTCCGCGAAACGATTCTCCCGTAAATGAGGGAAGACCCCGCGGGTCGTCGCAGACCAGCCACCGCTCGTTTCTCAATTCGTAGGATTCGAACGACGACGGAACGCGCGTCGTCGCGATAAAATCATCGGCTCGGTTCCCGAGGCTTTCCAACATCGTTGCAACAACAATGATGTGTTCTCGGGTTTTCTTAATTACAGCAAGTCGCCGCGCCCTGGGGAACCGTTTCCCTTCGATCGAACGCGTTCGTTCGTTTCCTCCGGAGAGAAAGCCGGCCATAAATAACGATCCGGCCACCGTTTCTCATACGTTTTGCGGCCGATCGTGTCCGACGAAACAAAAGAATCAATTGAAAAGAGATCGGAGTGGAAACAGCGCTTTCCGAAAGACCGTGGGAGCTCGTTTCTATCCGGGTCTCCTGTTTGTCGTCCGCGAAATTCGACGGAAATCGAGAAATTTCCGATGTCCGATTCACCGCATTCCTCGGTTGCCCGTTCGCTGTTAAGGTAGCTAGATCTCGGTTCTCGAGACAATAAACATACCAATAAAAACAACGACGGCCGAGGGAAGAGACACGGAACTGTTCGACCACGAAGACACACCGCTAGACTCTGCAGATCTTCTTTATACGCTTCGTACGTATTTTCTCGACTGCGAGAACACTAATGCAAATAATATTTCGATATGAGGGAAAGAAAGCTATATTTTATTAATTTTGACTCTTGTAACGTTGGTTTTGCACTACGATTTCATTCACAGCTTCGTTGATTAGCACCTTTTCGTCTTTAGCGCGTTAAATGCTGAAAATTCGCCAGGAAAATTTCCACGAAATTTTTATTTCTAATTTTTTGCCACGATTTGGAGGCAATTTGGAGGCAACGTGACACGATTCGAAGGCAATTCGGAGGCCACCAGACACGATTCGAAGGTAAT